TAGACCATAAACCCTGTCTCTTATACACATCTAGATGTGTATAAGTTAACTGGGTTCGTAAATAATATTGTCCTCAAAATATTGTGGCTGAGACATGAGCCGATTAAACGTAGAAATAGGAAACCTAGAAATATAGTAAAAACGCTGAATAGTACTCCAGCGTCGCGACATGTCGACGTTGGTACGAGTAAGTTAGTCTACAAACGTCGCCTAAAGTAATTGATTTTACCCGGCAGAACGAAAGAAGCAAACTCCGCTTTTCAGTTGTCTCAGGTGATTGATTTTTGACAAACAATGACCTTTCAGAGGTCAAATTGCTGTCAAGAATATGAATTGGCTGCTTCGCAGCAATGATCAACAAATCACAACTTTTTTCGCATTTAGCACAATTTTCTTCACTTTTTATTGTTATTAATATTATCAATTATTACTATCGTCATCATCATCATTGTTGTTATTGTTATTATTATTATTATTATTATTATTATTATTACTACTATTACTATTAGTAGTAGTATTATTAAACAAACATTTAAAGAAACTTGCAAAAGGATAAAACAAAATTGAACCACAGTATCGCATTTCTATCTTAAAAGACCTGGCCTGAGATTTATGGATTTAAGATTATATTAAATCTCGCTTAGGCCTATGTGTTCTATTAGGCCTATGTATAACGTGTACGGTACTGATGCATATTTACATGTTTAGAAGTATTCATTTTGAGTGATCCCAGGAAAGAATTTGTATTGGCTCAAGAATAAGCTTTAAAATTTTAACACTGTGTACAAAAGAGGGGGGGGGGGGCGGCTCCCACCAGTAATGGGCTTCAAAACACCATTGATAAGCTTTCGTCGTATTGCGACCAATGGAAACTAAATATAAATATTAACAAAACAAAAATAATATTTTTTAACAAAAGAGGGCACCTACTTTTTGATTCCTTTACAATGATAAGAATATTGATATTGCTAATGAATTTTTCTTCCTTGTATCTGCTTTACGCCCTCTGGCTCATTTGCAGTCGATATGAATAAACTAAAAGAAAAAGCAAGCATTCGTTAAAGTTAGAAGTAACCTTATTGGTATAGACTAACTCTGCCTTAAATTGTTTTATAGTAGTTTATCCAATTATCTCCAATTGTTGTGAAATATGGGCTCCATACATTATATTTAATTTTAACGGTAACAATTTAATGTCATGTGATAAACTTCCTAGTGAAAATCTTTATGTAAATTTATGTAAAATTATACTGGTGTAAATAAAAGAACCACCAATAATGCTGTACGGGCTAGGTAGCCACCCGTTACTCATCAACATGTTAAGTCATGCAGTTAAGTATTGGTGGAACTTAAATGAAAAATGCAGAAAGGGCCACTCATCACTAGCTACTGATGCACTAACTGAAAATAGATCTCTGTGCTCTGTGTATTAATTCAAATATATCTACCTGGTCGTCCGGTATTTATAAAATAACTGACTCAACTGGGATTGCGGATGTTTGGAACATACCTCTTATTTATAATTCAAGCGAAGATCTGTCGCATAGAATAAGGGATACCGTATTCAAAACGGTCTCTATGAGCAATGTTGGTACAATAGTATTGTTAAACGGCCTAAGATGAGATCCTACTGTACGTATAAGCACACATTCTCTATGGAAAACCGATTTTTGAAGTATAAGATTCTTTATTGCCAAATCGCGTACAGCTCGCATGTGATAATTGAAACTCCGGACGTTATGTCGTCCTAAGATCCCTCTGGAAAAACGCATAGGCCTATGTAAATCAGGAGAAGTCGAGGATGAAATCTCATTTTATTATCAAATGTTATGATTACAATGACCTGAGAGTATTGCTAATCAATGACCTGCAAAATTCCATTGCCAATTTTGACCTGTATCATGTGAGTAGTATTTGTGGCTCTTATGGGGTCATCCGATTTTGACACCCTCTCCTCTTTAAGAAAATATATTAAAAATGCATTCTTTAAAAGAGAGTCCATCTATGGCAAATAATGAAACTAGTTGCTATATAACTAATTATGTCGATTTAAGAAAGCTATGTCGCACGTTCGACATACAGTACGCTTATACATTTTCTGTCACTCTATTTTTTTCTGTATTTGACTGTTAGTGATTGTTTTGATGATGTCAATAAAAGTTACTGTTACTTACTGTTATTGTTACTGTATTGTCAAGGCGTTGTAGAGTGCTGGGTAGCAGTGAGATGGGGCCTAGTGGCCTCCCCCGGGTCCATTTGGAATGGGACTGACTCTGAAGGCGCATTAGTAAAGTGCTAGGTAGTAATATATGTGTATATATATATATATATATATATATATATATATACAGATTCTCATTTACCACATGAAAAGGGACTATGTCGGTATACTACTACCAATGTCCATACCATTTTAGTTGGTAAATACAGTAGAAAGTTCTTATAATACAAAAAGCATCTAAACTAAAGAGGGCGCTAGACAAGTATTTTCGTTTGTCAGAGAATCGTCGCGGTATCTGAAATACTGTGAAAGCGTTCCAAAAAGAAAATATTTTCATTGAAAAAGAATCATATTAGAATTTGCAACAATTGTGTTAGGCTACATTTAAACAGAAGATATCATAAATCTAATTTTTAATTGATTTTAATTAAATTTTAAGATGAATATTCTTTTAAAACGATTTTAAAATAAGATACTGTAATTATGCACGTTTATTAATTTTCAAGACAAAAATGTAAACTTAGTTAAATTTGATAAACTTATTAATGCTCTTTTGAACAAACACCTTAAAAATAGATACATAATGATATATTTATAAGAAACAAAATGTGTAT